TTCTCCTTTCTGGCAATTTTCCTCTCTGTTAGAGGCACCAAAATAATCCAGACAATGTAAGGTTTTCTGCTGCAGCAGGGGGCTTGACTAGATGACCTCTGAGTAGCCTTCTATCCCTAAATTGCTGTGCTGTTTTTCTTTCTTTCTCTTTCTTTCTTTCCCTCCCTCCCTCGCTCCTTCCTTTCTTTCTTTCTTTCTTTCTTTCTTTCTTTCTTTCTTTCTTTCTTTCTTTCTTTCTTTCTCCCTTTCCTCTCTGAGAAGCAACTCCCCCCAAATAACTGCTGAGTTACATCAAAGAAGCAAGTATGGAGTTTATTTTATGTCTCATGCTGGGTTTCTCAAATCCTCCAACTTGTTATAAGCCATACACAGATTCAATAATTGAATTACTTAGAAACATTGGTAAATATTTCTAAATAATTATCTATGTTCAAGTTTCTATAATCATTGAATTTTTTTATATAGCATTATGCTTTATAGGATAATGGATGCTACCTGGTCTTTGCACCAGAACCTTTTCCATGTATGCCACAAAATGCTGTAACCTGCTGTAGAAAATTGGAAGGAAGAAAAATAAAAGTGTGTCGTTATACTGGATCTAGGCTTGCCTACTTAAAAGTAGAAAAGTACCTAGCATAGACTAGCTGTACAAATTGGGGCCGATCAGTGGAAGCTTGCCAAGATACAGGATAAATGTTTATTTATTTAAGAACTCTCCTGATTGTGGTATACTTCATTACTAACTCTCTGTGACTGCCCAACCATACGTACTCCATATCTTGCTTCAAGCAAAAGAAGAGAATATGACTCTGTTTGACATGTTTATTGTTTTATACTTTTTCCCCCTGTAAACTGCCCAGAGTCATTTATTCTAATATAGGCGGTCCTATGAATTTGATAAACAAACAAGTATCTTTGGAAATCTTAACTGTCCCCTGGATTTAGCAACATAAATTATCTTGCCCTTGAATCTGAGTTGCCAGTAAGAGTTTTGTAGAAATGCAAATCTGTACTCCTAAAAGTCTATGGCTTAGTATGATGAGTTCATTACTATTTCTAATTGTCAACCTTGAATTCTTTCCATTTGATTTGAGTACTATTAGCCAAGACATGCAGCTTTGAACATCACCGTTGAACATGAACAGTTCAAGATAACTAATTAAGGTTTCACCTTTACAGTTTTAGCTTATATTTCAATTCTTCACTTTGGCAAAATAAAGAACACTTAAACATTGCTATATAAACAAAACAGTCTTGCCATCCTACAAAAAAAATCTCATTAACAGGTGACAAAAATTGGCCAGTCGCTTTTGACTTCCATTGTATTATATTGTTTTCTATATTTTCTCTGGAATCATGCTTTGCTTGGTTTCAGTTTAATCATTTTAGCAATAGCAATAGCAGTTAGACTTATATACCGCTTCATAGGGCTTTCAGCTCACTCTAAGCGGTTTACAGAGTCAGCATATTGCCCCCAACAACAATCCGGGTCCTCATTTTACCCACCTCGGAAGGATGGAAGGCTGAGCCGATGAGACTAGAACCGCTGAACTGCAGATAACAGTCAGCTGAAGTGGCCTGCAGTACTGCACCCTAACAACTGCGCCACCTCGGCTCTTTTGTCCTGCCCAGTCTTTTTTTGAGTATGCACTTTAGCATACCACACAATCCCTATTCTCAGTTTATGGGATAACTAGGAACTTTTAACCAGATTATTCTATTTAACACTTACAATGACCCACAGGAAGGTGGAATACAGGATTAAAGACTGGAGGTCTGCAAAAATATTTCCAAAGGAGCTGTAAAAAAAAGAACAATCCAGATTTCTCGATGAATTTCATATGTAATAACATATGAAATTGGATAAAATTTGATTTCATCCACTCTTTTATCAGTGGATAAAAGAGGCAAAGAAATATAAAAGATAACTAATATACAAAAACTTGATGCAGGAATAGATCTATGGCTTGTTCTGGGTGCGCTGTATTCTTTCTGTCCTTCTGTTGTGTGCATCTGTTTCAATGTGAAATGACAGTTCTCCCTCCTGGAGAATTCAGATCTGCTTGTTATTATTCATGTCTTTAGTAATGACTGTATCTATTTTTTATGGTTTAAAAGTTTTTATTTTCCATTTTATCATTTTCATACACTCACA